GATCCCACATTGAGCAGGCTATTCAAGCCTGCAGTCCATGACTGAATTGCAAATGTTCACAAAAACTGGTGACCAAAATGTTCAAGGGATTGCGTTCCGAGACATATTTGGAAAGACCTTAATCATGGGGATTGTACTTCACCCAGTAGCTTCATATTTTGCGTAGCCTGCTCATCGTCTACATTTCCGTGCTCTGTTTGAACGCGAGGGGAAAGGTTTGCGGCGGACGTATGAAAAAGCTATGTCCAGCTTTGCTTTTGGTCGATGCAGCCCGCCTTCCACATTAGGGCAAAAGGGTAAGGTTCATTTTGAGTCAGAGATCCTGAAAACGAAGGTCCTGAGTGGAAGCTGGTGTGAAAACTGTGCGGTCTGTTTGTTAAAATATTGTGCTCATAAAAATGATCATGAAACACAAATAGTATCAAAACGTGTTCGGCGAAACAAATAAAAATATAATACTTGTTGTCCACTATAACTGTTTTGCATCTATTTCGCTATTTTTTTAATTTCAATCCTTTCGTCCTATGTTATTAATATTTTTTTGTTAGCACCACACTTGTTCGCAAGCCGGTGATATATCGTCAAGAAGTCCTATTTTCTGTCTGAAATTACGCAGAAACCTGACCACCAATATCGCTCACTGTTCACCTTGTCACCCAACATTCCCTTGAAAGTGCTTTTATTCAATTGTTACTTCTACTAATTGGTGAACGAGAATAGTGGCGTCACGCCTTGTCCTCAACATGTGTAGCATTTTGAATTCTCGGTCAACTCACTTTGTTTCTGCGATCATAATTGATTCGTTTAAGCAGCGATTCGGTTGATTACTATCATGTCTTAAATTTTGGCAACCAAAGCAGCACACAAAATAATGAAACTCTGTGACATTCCGCATCTCATTTTGATTGTCCAATCGATCTGATTGTGCCAAAACACTAGCAGAACTTTGACTTTGGCTTTAGAACTGTGTTCTACTCTATGATCGGCAAATTTTGCGTACGTCCTTCAAGGTCACCCGCTTCATGACATCCATCGGTCCCTATTGCTCTGGACAACTAAACCGATAAATATACGTAATATCGGCGTACCATACTACTCCGTATGTCTCTTGCCACCCGATTGTATTGTGAAGAAACCGACCAACTGTGTGCTTGTTATGCGTCGCCTACTTTATTGGAAGTTCCCCATTTATTGATCACAGATCTTTTATGCCTGACTGCATCGTCAGAGGTCCCGATATCCGAAAAAGATTTCCAAAGATGGTGATCTTGTGTTGGGTACTAGTACCAAATACTTGACTAAAGTCATTGTGATGAAT